TTTTTTTGCTATAGGGTGCGTGCTCTCGCCAGACAGACAGAGACATAGAGACAGAAAGCGAGAAATCACCCCCCAGGGGGGATGGTCACGCCACAATCCCTTCTCCTCCATTCTCCTCTCGGGATCTTGGGCACGCACGAACATGCGCCCGGTGTGAGTTTTAAGCCACCGGGTCTGAGACTCGAACCGCGGTTTACTACGTGGGAGTCCAGCGACATAGGTATTACGCTAACTGCTGGTTCCCAAGGAGGGCAGCTCTTGAGTCAGGTTGTTTCCAGTCCATGAGGCTGCACAGAGCTGGTATGACTGATCCCATTCCACCGAGGCTTGGAGAGCAGGTGGTAGGCTTAGTCTGAGGCACCAATGCTTGCTGAGACCAGTCTTCTCACTTCCCAGGGGCCCCAGTGTTCCTCAGCCCTTGGGCTGCATTGTCCCAGCCACCAGACTGACCCTAGGACAGTCCACTTCAGTGGGGACAACAACGGCTGTGCTCCCCAAACAGAACTCCAAATCACAATTGCTTCTACCCGAGGCAGAGAAAGTCCCTCACCTCGAAGAGCTGGCAGCTAAGAGGGAAGGATTGTATCTTCAGAAAGATGCGAGAATGGTAGTGCCCCACCCAAGGGAGCTTGACAGCATGGCGGAATTTTGGGGTGGTGGTTGTAGGCGACTCTTCCTGATGGGGCCTTTCTGCGCTCAGTTCACGCCAACGCTGTTTGAGGATGGGTAGTTGCTTTTCTCCGATTGGCCAGAGGAGTTACCAGGGGGCGGAGTCAGAATGAGGGTTTGAACATTTCTTGTCTTTGATTGGCCGACAGGGTCTTTGGAGGGGGAGTCTGATAGCTGAGTTTCACCCACGTCCTGCGAGGTGCTCCGAGCTCTTCTGCTTGCATAGAAACGCTCCAGGCAGGTGCAAGGGTTGCGTTCTGCTGGAATGGTCGGACCTGGGGGCTGGCTGCGGCAGCCTCTGAGCCCAGGGGTGGGCTGGCTGCACCCAGGCAGGCCTCTGCCCCTGGTGCCGACCGGGGTGGGCTAGAGGGTGCAGGAGGGGCCGCTTTAGGTCCCTGAGCACCAGGCGGTCAGAGTAGGGAGACTTCCGCCTGGAAGCTGGAGGAGCGGCGGGCGCCCGGGCTGACGCGGGTCAGCATGGAGACTTGCGTGCTGCACGTGGCACCGTTGCTGCCTCCCAATGGGTGCTGGTATTTGGCCTTCCAGCCCAGGACGCCCTGCAAGCGCCAGCGTCGCCACTTCCGACGCAGCTCTGCCTGCACCTGAGAGGGGAAGGGAGGGTGGTCAGGCCTGTGGTGGAGCTCCTTCCACTGCTTAGACTTCTCGGGAGCCAGCCCTCCCTCTCTCTGGCAAATCTACAGTAAAGGGACCCAGACGTTGTACCGGGCGTGCGCAACTGGGACTGGTTGGATGCAAGATCAAATCAAGACCTCGGAGAGGAGGAGGGAGGCAGAGCGGATCAGAGCTTGCAGCCCAAGGAGAAAGAGGGACGCTGCCTGCCGGTGGCGGTCCCCCGATTCCCCCTTTCTGTCCTCCAGCTCACTTGAGCCCATCCGAGTGGAATTCTGGGCTTTGTAACTAGGGCAACTCCATTGCAACCCCTCCCTTCCCCTCTCACTCCTGCACACAGCCATTTAACTAGACACTTCGCAAACTCTGGTGTGCACAGATCCCTGGGGTGGGGCTGGGAGGGTTTAAAATGCAGGTTCCAAGTCAGCAGATCTGGGGTGGTCTCAGAGATCTGCAATCAAGACCCTAGGTGACACCAGTGCTACTGGCCTGAGGACTGCACTCAGAGTTGCAAGGTCTACCCCATCCTTGCTCTGCACACGTCCATCAGTATTCCTGGGCCCTGAGCCTGACAGTTCCGTTCCCTGGCTCCCGAGGCCTGGGAGGGTCTTACCTCGCCGTTGAGGAAGCAGTAGAGGATGGCCACCACAAAGCCCTGGGAGAAAGGGGATAGGAGACGTAAGGTCAGACCCTGGGGCTTCCAGCCCTGCCCCATGCTGGCCCCAGCCCGTGTTCCCCTGGTTAAGAAAAGGGCTAAGCAGAAAGTAGGTGCTTAACCAACACTTATTACAAAGAGAAGACGAGGATCAGTGGCAAGGGGCCAAGGCCTTCGGCTGAATCCCTTCAAGGCCAGAGGATGTAGGCCAAGCCAACCATTCTTACCTGGAAGGACCCCACGACCAGCTCAAAGACCAGTTTCACTTCAGCCTTGAAGTTGTCTGGGAAGAAGACGAACATGGTGTAGTGCACTCCAAACAGGGGAATCAGCAGCAGCGTGGACTTGGTCAGCCTCCTGGGGACAGAGGAGGGCAGGCTGTGGGGGCGTGTCCGTACATGTGCACGGTAGGATCTGGTGGAGGTCTCCGGGGGCACAGAGGATGAAGATGTGTGAGGACAGACTGTTGGCGCCCGTTATGTCACATGTGCTCCTGTTCCACATCTGCAGTGCCTCTGCACTCCCATCTCAGCTCCCTTAGCTTGGAGGGAAGCATAAGAGAGAAGGAAATGCCCTCTGGTCTCACCTTTCTAGGGGAGAGGGTTTAAAGGAGCGGCCAATGCTGAACCCTGAGGATGATGCAGAACGGTAAGATTTCAGCTACTGGGGAGATGTTCTCAAACAGGAGGAGATACTGCTTTTCCTCTCCCTGGCCTCGGTTTTCCCAGTCTACATAATGGGATAAATGTATGCTCAACCTAGCCAAGATACACAATGGGGACCCACTGCTAGCTTGGGAGTGCTTTGGGTGCTATAAAGTGCAGTGCATCACTGAGGGACAGTTTCCTACTGGGAATGAGGGCTTCTGGGAAGGAAACCTTCCTAACGTAGGTGCCGGCCAGGCCACGTGGTAGGTTTCCAAGTTTGTGTCTGGACAACAGTGACAACGCAGGGGTAATCAGAGCAGCCCTCTGTCTTTGACTTCTCTGCAGTGTCTACTTTTCCGGGCATTGTCCCTTCTCTGGGATCGCAGCCCTCTGCTCCCACCTCCCCACTGCAACGTACACCCTGTCATCATGCCCTGAAAGACCAGCTCCCTGTTTACCAGCCTAGATGCCCTGCAGGGTCGGCATCTGCTCTAAATGATTCACCCTCTCCCGCGGCAGAGCACTCATCCTGGTTCCGGCCTCCCAGCCATCCGACCTCTTGGCTGGTCCACTCTGTGAACCCCTGGCTCCCTGGCTGGCTGATGTCTGGGGAGGTCTTAGGGAACGGTCTGAAGAGGTTTCTGCCTCTGTCTTTGCTTGCCACGGCAGTCCAGGGAGCTCTCACCGGAGCCTGAGGTCCCACAGCAAGTGGGGGCAGAGGACCTGGCCTTGGCCCTCCCTCTCCTTCCTGGGCCTGGCTCCAAGCCATGCCAAGATCCTGTGTGCTGCCACCCCGTTTTGGCTGCAGAGAACCTTTCCCACGCACACCCGAGGCTGACAGATGGAGGCTTTCTTTACATCGAAGGCTTATGGGGAGGTGGAGAGTGGGAGCTGACAGCCCCTCCACGGGGAGCTCTGTCTCCGACTCCCCCCACCCCTTCTGCCAGCTGCCAGCTGTCCCCTTGCCATCTCCTCCACAGGAACCCGGCAATGACCGACTCTGCTTCAGACTCAAGCCCTTTGGAGCAGTTGCATGTTGGGGGGAAGGAGGCCCCACAGGCAAAGCGGAGGACGAGGGTGCACAGGCACCGTGTGCTGGCCCTCAGCAGACTGTAGACCCCCCACGGGCTGCCCCTTCTCCAGCAGGAAGGGAAGCGCCTCCTACATACCCGGCAGGAGAGCGTGCTGTCACAGCCAGCAGGGGAGTCTGAGTCTCATCAGACAGCATCACAGGGTTCCAGAATAGAATCCTAAATCCAGCCGCTCGTGACATGCTAGCAACCACAGCACAGACTCCCCAAAGAGAAGTCAGGCTACGAAGAACATTCTAGAACCCCGGGACTAGAAAGTCCTTGTGGGACATCCCAAGTTTGTTTTTTTCTGCACAGAACTGACCCCACTTGCCGTTCCTATCTATGGGCTTGCAGATGCTACTGGTCTTCCCACAGCCTTTCCCTATTGTCATGCTTTTTCTTTTCTTTTCTTTTCTTTTCTTTTCTTTTCTTTTCTTTTCTTTTCTTTTCTTTTCTTTTCTTTTCTTTTCTTTTCTTTTCTTTTCTTTCTTTTCTTTCTCTTTTCTTTTCTTTTCTTTTCTTTTCTTTTCTTTTCTTTTCTTTTCTTTTCTTTTCTTTTCTTTTCTTTTCTTTTCTTTTCTTTTCTTTTTTTTTTTCTTTTCTTTCTTTTCTTTGCTTTTCTTTTTTCTTTCTTTCTTTCTTTCTCTCTCTCTCTCTCTCTCTCTCTCTTTCTTTCTTTCTTTCTTTTCTTTTCTTTCTTTTTATGGAGAGGTTTCTGCTACAGGGCGTGTGCACTCACCAGAGAGACAGAGAAAGACAGAGACAGAAAGCGAGAAATCACCCCCCAGGTGGGATGGCCACGCCGCAATCCCTTCTCCTCCATTCTCCTCTTGTGCACGCATGCACACGCACCCGGCATGAGTTTAAGCCACCAGGTCCGGGACTCGAACCATGATCGACTACATGGGAGTCCAGCAACATAGCCACTATGCTAACTGCTGGTCCCATGCTTCTTTTTATTTTTAAAACAATTTGTGATAGAGCCCATGTGGATGCCCAAGAGAGGCAGGGAGAAAGACAGGGAGAGAAGCACCCTCCATGGGACTTGGTCACACCATGACACTCTTCCTTCTGCCCTCCAGCCTCCCAGGATCCCAGGCACATGCCCGGTGTGTTTTCGGGCTGCCTGGGTCAGGGAGCACACCTTGTTGGTCTGCGGCTCCCAGCTCTGTAGCCTAGCACACTAGCAACTGCACCACAGAGGCTGTGCTGATGGCTCATGCTTCTCTAGCTCTCCCTTCGAGCCTGTGGCTCCCATGAAATCCTGCCTCTTTCTCTGGTCCTCCCAAGCACGGACGATAGCCCCACACATTTCCAATCGAGGAGGATAATCCCTGTCCCATGGACGCACGCCCTCTGCTCCCTGCTCATGGCGATGCGCTCTCACGCTCTTGTGCAGGAGGGAGTGTGCGTCAGTGCCTTCTCTGTAACGTGCGGATAGTTTGCGGGGACTCTGGCTGAAATCAGATGAGCATGGGACCCCTTAGCCCATGCCTGAAGTGTGCAGGGCCACTATTGTTACTGGAGAACACCCAGTCCCGGGCATGGCTGTCTCACTGGGAGGCTGGGGGCTCCCCACGGCAGTCGTCTGCTGTGACGGAATGCATCCCTTCTCTGTGCCTGGCACGTGCTAAGTGTGAACAGCACGGGTTACCCGTCACCTCAGCAGCAGGTGCACATCTGGGAATAGTGAGCAGTACAGGAGAAGTAGACACGGGCCCTGAAGGCTGCCTGGCGAAGGCAGGGCTGGGACAGGGATGCTGGCAGGCTGGAGGGTAGAGTCCGTGCGGCTGGACGTGGGCAAGAGCAATGTGGCTTTCTGGTGACACTGAGGTTCAGGGTGACCTCAGGAGGAGGGGGATGATCTGAGGACTGGGGGCAGGACCCCGGGCGCACACTCACGAGTAGGGGCTGCTGTCACTCTTCCTGATATCCGGGGGGCGCAGCTTCTGAACCAGGATTCGGATGATGCGAATAAACAGGATGAAGTTGACCTAGTGGCGGGGAGAGGGAGTGAGGTAGGACAGTCTAGAAGGGAGGTATCCAGCACCCTGGGGTCTAATGGCCTGTCTTCCCCAGGGTCCTGCTGGTCCTCCATCTTACCTCTTCCCTAGCCCTTCTCCCCTTGGGCAGGCTGCCACATCCCTAAGGGCCACGCCTCCCAATCTGCTTACTCTGGAGGAGCTGGTGGAAGGGGAAGGCGAGGACCTGGGTGAGGCCCTGGGAAGCCTAGGTGTCCCTCTGACCCTCTGACCGCGATACTCCTTGCCCGTGTGATCTGAGATAAGCCACATGCCCAAACCGGGACTCAGTTTCCCAATCTCTAAACGGTGAGAGGCGGCCTTACCAAGATGGAGGTGAGGATGGGGGCCTTTATGATCCACCACAATGGGGAGTCGATGGAGTCCCAGCATCTGAGCAGAGTATGGTGGGGGAGAACGAGAGAGGCTGTTCTCAGCCGGGGAGAGTAAGTTGGCGGTCCTCCCCGTTGTCCCTGGCTGGGCCTCCAGGCCCTTTAGAGACCCCGGGCCTAGAGTAGGTGGCTCCCTGGGTCTCCCTCCAGCCTCCCCTGCACCCATGCCTCACCCAGGAGATCCGCCCAGGTGACCGCAGCCAGCGGAAGCACGAGGTGTCACTTACCCTTCATTCTCTAAGTAGATCCTGGCGATGGCCCACACTGTGATGAATATACTGGGCACTCCTGTCAGAGCCAAGGAGAGAGGGAGAGAGGGGACAGGGAGCAGGGGTACAGGGCGTGAGGGAGAGATTTTTGAGAACGAACCAGAGAGGGAGGGAGGAAAGGGCGGTTTCCAGGGCTGCCACCCCGGTTGCACAGGCTGTTCACTGCGCCAGGATGCTCCGCTGAAGCATCTTTGGGGCTGAAGCTGTATGCCCGAGGGGCTGGGACCGCCTAGTGGGACGATCTTCATTTGCTTTTAAGAGGCACCTCACAGATCGGCAGTGGACCAGGGTGTTTCAGGGACAGAAGGGACAATGGAGAAAAGGACGTTTATGGAACTGGTCCTAGTTTGAGGGTGCCCGGTCCAGGGCCTGAACTGTGGGGGACTTTGGTCAACCCTTGGCCGAGAACAATGCAATCAGGATCTGCTGCTTAGCAAGACCCAAGACTGCAAGGCTGGGTTGGCATCCTCCCCCTAGTGAGCTCCCCAGGCCTTTTTCCCTCTGTCCCCAGCCTGGTAGCCCTCCCTGGCACCATACCCCAGCCGATGAGTATGTACCCCCAGAAGTACTTCCGCTCGGAGAAGAAGGAGATGGCCAGCAGGGTGTGTAGGTAGAGGCCCTCCACCAGCAGCCAGAAGAAGTTGGCCATGATACAATACTGGAATAGGACCACGGCTGCCCTGCAGCCCACATGCAGGGGAGAAGCATAGAGGAGGTCACTGGGGCTAGCCAGGGCTAGCCAGGGCACTCAGAAGCCCACACCTTTGCCTGGGCGGGTTGGAGGGGAACATAGCTGTGCTACAACCAATTTCATCTCCTTATTCTTTCTTACTATTCTTTTAAATATGTACTCAGTGGTTTGCCAATTGTCCCTGATTTTTGATTTAGGATAAGCTGGTGATTGTAATTATTCATCCATTGACTCATCATCTATCCATCTTCCCATCTGTATATCCGGCCAGCCATCTACCCATCCAGCCATCCATCCGGCCACCGATCCCTTTATTTACCCACCCACACACTGGTCCTCCCCTACCAACTCACCCATCACCCACCTGTCATCCATCTAGCTTCTCTCTCCCCATTATCAATCCATTCACCCACCCACTCACCTATCTGTCTCTTCCTTCATCTGCCATCTTGCCCACCTTGCCATCTATCCATCCATTCATCTACCCACCCACCCATCAGTCCATCTGTCTACCCACTGACCCCTGTCCCCATCATCTGTCCAATCTCCCCTGTGGCCGTGCACACATTCACAGGTCTACTTATTCCACCATCCACCAATCTGCCCATCTCCTTAAAATCACCCCTCTCCCACACATTAATTTTACCTCAGGATCAAAGGGAGCTGGAAGAGGTATGAGGGAGAATTCTCACTTGAGTTTGCAAGAGTCCACTGAACGGGTGGGGGTGTGGGCTGTGGCCTATGGAGAGGGGTCCAGATGGAAGTGTGGGAGACAGATGGACTGAGAAGAGGGTGGAGGAGGGAGAAGTAGAAACGAGGCAAGGAATAGAGGGGAGGGTGGCCCTTCCTCCTGGGGGTTGGAGGAGCTAGTGGAAAAGGGGGTTCCCCAGATAAGTAAGGACCATAGGGGAAGCAGGGAGACCCATGGCAGGCTCTCTGACTCATGCCTCCCATGTCTGACGGGGTCCTGTGTTTTCTCTCCCTCTTGTTGAGCTGCCTGAGACTCACCATGATAGGTTCATTCTTTGGGGAGAAGGTACTGCTGACCTTTGATACAACATACTGCCTCTGGGGTCACTCCTGAAGCAATGAATCACTGACCACAGGAATGGGCAGGAGCCCAGGCTGGTCTGAAGCTCTGTAAGCTGGCTCAGGCCATTGGGAATGGGCCCTTTGGTTACTGGAGAGGAATTTCTAGATGCTCCCTTCACCTCCTTTCCCTGGGAAGGCCCAGAACTGGAAGAGGAGTGCTGCATGTGTTTGATCAACACCAGATGGCGAGGGGAGGGGTGGGGAGTAGAAAGGAAAGGTGGCGATGTGAGCAGAGCCATGTGAATGCAGAAGGCAGAGTTGGCAAGAATCTTGGAAGTCCTTGCACAGATGGGGAAACTGAGGCAGGGAGCTTCCCAAGACCCTACAGAAAGTTAGCAACAGAGGGGAGATTCTGGGCTGCGACTGTGGTGTGTCCCACCTAGGTTTCTCATGGGCAGGGGCCAGATGACCAAGCAGCACCTCTTGTTACTGGGAAGAGACTGAGATTTGACAAGTCGCCAGGTGGGTTTGAGTGGGAGTTTGGCCATCCTTGGATCAAGAGAGAGAAAAGAGAGAGAGGGAGAGATGGCAGAGGGAAGAGGGAGAAGGAAGAGGGAGAGAAGAGCTGCAGACCAAGGGAGGTGTCCGGGGCGGGGGGTCCTCACCGAGCCCTTGAAGCAGTGGTCTACCTCCTGGCTGTCGAAGAGGGCCATGTCTTTGATGAAGACGGCAGCGGCCCTCAGGATGAAGGACATGAAGAGGTGCATGTGGATGTAGTTCCGGGTACAGTGGAGCTTCCTGTGTGCAGAGCGGGCAGGTCTAGGAGTCTGGGGTGGCCTTGGACCCCCGCCCCAGCCAGCACTGTCCTACGCTCTGAGCAAGGCAATTGGGGTGGGGTCGTTTATGGCCTTTAGGGGGCAGGCCTCATCCCGAAGAGAGACCCATCGCAAAGTGTGGACCCAGCCCCCAGATACCCCCTCCTCCTGTGTCTCCGCCCAGCGCCTCAGCCTTGAGCGTGGCCTGCCCCCAGGTGCCTCATTTGGGGTGCAGGGCCATCCTGTGGGGGCTTAGGCTGCAACAGAGGGAACACCGTGGCTGCTTGACATTTCCAGGGGAGGCTGGCGTGGCTTTGAGCTGGGGCAGGCTCTGTTTGCTGCCGGAGGGAGGAGGTGGGCAGAGTGCATGCTGGGTCAGGCTGGGCTTGAACATGGGAGTGACACTTGCCAGGTCTGCTCGGAGGCCTGGGCGGGACCTCACCTGAACAGGCTCAAGATGGCGGTGGCGACCAGAAGCGTGGCGAGGGACAGGCTGTAGCCGATGGGGGAGCCGGGCTTCACCGAACTGGAGAACATTGTCTGCT